GAGGAGGGCTGGAGGAGGGGAGTATGTGTGGGCATAAAAATAGAAGCAGGTAGCACAGTCACAAAGCCAGTACCTAGTCTGGAGCCAGGCGCCTGGTACTCTTTGTCCTGGCTCTGGTGTGGCGACACATTCTTGGGAGTTGAGCCTGGAGCCCTGTAGTAGCCTGCCAGCCTTTAGGGAAGACTTCTAACCCTGCTAGGTCCTCTCTCCTTCTCCGAATTCTCTGCCTGTCCCAGTACTAGGAATCTCACAGGCAAGCAGAGGGTGGGAAGAGGCTGTATGGTGGGAACTGGGTAGGAAACGGTGGTGGGGGGAGGGGCAAGCATAGGCAACTCCCAGCAGAGAGCTCTTTACTTAAGCCTGTGACCTACTCTTCCACAGACTTCCATCCACCCAATCTTTGGTTCTACGGATCTCTATCTCTGGATCGTCTCTATCCCTGGAGCGAGGAGAGGGCCAACCTAGCACCTCTCGCTCATCCGGAACCTCACACATATATACAATAAGGGAAACCACACTTGTGAATTTAGCCACTCCCCCCACTCTACCTGTTGGTTTCTTACATTTTCCAACCTCCTAATGAAGATTAAAGTTCCTGTTCACCCTCTTCTCCCAAATTCTTTATTTGCCTCATCTAGGGAGCCCACAAGAACCTTTTCCTAACAGTTTTCAAATGTCTTGTTCCGGAAAGAATATTTATGTACCCTTCCCTCTGCCCTTTCTTTCCGATAGTTTCTCTAGTGTGCTCTTACCCCAGTGCAGCTTTTCGTCAGGATTTCTGTTCTAGACTGTAGCAATAGACCATCTTCCCTTATCGCTCTACTTTGATGTCTGCTTGCCTCATTCTGGTCTTATTTTAATATGTGCGCGTGCGGGCACGCGCACGTGTGTGTGTGTGTGTGTGTGTGTGTGTGTGTGTGTGTGTACACCTGCATACGAGAACCCACAGAGGCCAGAAGGAGGCACTGGATCCCTGGAGCTGGAATTAGAGGTGGTTGTAAGCTCCCTGACATGGGTGCTGGGAGCTGACCTCCAGTCCTAAGCTCAGCAAGTCTAACTGCTAGGTCTTCTCTCCAGTGCCCGTTTAGGTGGTTTTAAAATGTCACCTGCTCTTTAGATTTTCGTGTGAGTGTTATGGGTCAGACTCCCTGAAGGACTCACCGCAGTTCTTCATGAGCATTTTGCCAAACAAGGTGGGATATTTAGGCTAAAGATTCTCTTAATGCCTAATGGCCCCTTTACAACCGTGTGTGCAGACTGGCTGATGTGCCTAGAGTTCAGTTCACATAGCTCACCAATGTGTACGATGTCAGGATGTCAGGATGCTGACCCAGTCTCCTTGCCTGCCTGGGTTTTCCTTCATCTTTCGTATCAAGGAGCAGGAACCTTTATGGAAGGGAATTGTTAGGAGAGCTGGAAGCATTGCAGCATTTATGATTTATGATGTCTTAAGATTGGCAAGTACCTTACGTTACTCAGGTAGGATAAACTCAATTGCCTCGTCTCATTGCAGGGATATTGTGGAGAGGGCGATGTCTCACTTGTTGGGTGAGTGTCTGGGCCATGTCCACACAGGCAAGATTGAAACCCATGCCCTTGTAACCTTCTCTTGTGTCTCAAGAGCTGCCTTGTGATTCTGATTTTCTTAGACACACAGCTTCCCTGATTAGACTTCACAGCAGAAAAATATGTTCCTTGGTTATTCCGGGAAGTCAGTGGCGATCTAAAAATATGGATTTGGCTTTCATTTTTTGGATAGAATCCTTTTGTCTTCCTATTTTAGTCATGAGAAACACTGGGGAAAAGCACTCGTGTTGTGTGGGCGAAGGATCACAAAGAGTGGCTCAGGGCTTATTCAAGACATGCCACTGCTGACCTGGGGCAGCTGATTTAAAAGTGAATCATTTATAGAAAGTTCCACCCTGTTCGAGGCAGGGCTTACTACAATATCCCCATGAAGGTCTAAATAAAGCATACAGTATCATGTTGCTAAATGTCTGTCTTGTTGCCAAATTTGTATCTTCTCTAAGCCGTGAAACTGTTTCTAGTGACTGCAGGTATTAAGGACTTTTATATAGGATGATGCATTGTTTAAAGCAATACTAGGAGAAAAAGACAAGATCTCCTGAGTAAATTGGGAGCATGGGGACCATGGGAGAAGATAAAAGGGGAAGGGAGGGAAGCAGAGAAAAATATATAACTCAATAAAAATAATAAATAAACAAAAAATAAAACAATACTAGAGATTTGTTATGTATGTTATATTGAGAAAAAATACTAGGCAAGAGATTCTGGAATGCCTATTTTTATAATATGAAGAAATGAATGTAAATAGTTTAAAATTACCAGAAGCAACATTAAAAAAAAAAACTCCTCAATTACTATAATTCAATTGAGCGATCGTGCTTTGCAGATATTTTGGTATTTGTTAAAGTAACTGGTATGTACGATTTTTTTTTTTTTGGTTTTTCGAGACAGGGTTTCTCTGTGGCTTTGGAGCTTTGGAGCCTGTCCTGGAACTAGCTCTGTAGACCAGGCTGGTCTCGAACTCACAGAGATCCGCCTGCCTCTGCCTCCCGAGTGCTGGGATTAAAGGCATGTGCCACCATCGCCCGGCGTGTGTATGATTTTTAGAGCCACTTAGAAGTAATTCCTTTTGGAAGCTGTCTTTCTCCTTTTAGGAAGTGAATAATTTACTACACAAACTATTTAGTTCCACACAGTAAAAATGCAGTCTTTGATTGAGAGAAGCTTTTGATTGAAGACTGGATTTACATTAACACCACTGTGGGTTAGACAAAAGCCACTGGAGCCTGAATTCTTGCTTTGACTTTGACCTTAGACAAACGAACACTCTTTGGGGTCTGAGCTGACATCCTCATCTGCTGAGAGCAGAGGATACTCGCCTTCACACCTGACTCCCAGTTGTGCTAACGCATTAGGAAGTGACAGGGATTTAGGTGGCCCTATGCAGTTGTTAGATCTCAGAGAAGCACTGAGGATAAAGAGATTGGAGTCAGTTCGCCATGGCTGGGGTCCTAGACAAGGTTTCCTTTTCCTCTCTAAGCCATTATTTTCTAAGTTGGGAAAAATAAGTGGAAAAGTAAGCCTGGAGATGTAGCTCAGTGGTAGTGTGTTCGTAATGATTATTTTGCGAGGCAGCATGTATATGACATGGCACCTGTGTGGAAGTCGGGGGACACCTTTCAGCCAATGGCTCTCTTCTTTTGTCTTTCTTTGAGGCAGGGCCTCTCTTGTTTGATTTGGGATGGCCTTCTGTATATGTGATGCTTTTATTGGTTAATGAATAAAGCTGTTTTGGCCAATGGCTTAGCAGAGTTAAACCAGGTAGGAAATCAGGAGAGAGAGAGAGAGAGAGAGAGAGAGAGAGAGAGAGAGAGAAGGCAGAGTGAGAGAGATGCCATGTAGCCACCTAAGAAGCAAGAGTTAACAAACCATGATCCTCATGGTAAAACATAAAATAATAGAAATGGATTGATTTAATATGTAAGATTTCGAGGACAGTTTCCAAAACTACAGAGAAATGCTGTCTCAAAAATCCAAAAAAAAAAAAAACTCCCTAAAAACCTAAGAGTTAGTTAATAAGAACCCTGAGCTAATTTATTAATTACGGTGTTGTAATTAGCATAGTTTCTGTGTGATTATTCAGGTCTGGGAGTCTGGAAACAAAAGCGTGGTCTCCATTTGCCCTTGTTTCTACCTGGCTGAGTATGTGAGCTTCTGGTGGGTTCCACTCACCTCACCTCTTTATGGAGGAGTACTGAGATCAGAGATGCAAGCAGCTGCATCTGCCTTTTTGTGTGGGTTCTGGAGATTCAACTCGTGTTTGTCAGTCTTGCTTGGCAAGCACCTTCACCACTGAGCCACCTAACTGCCCCTGAGGCATGTTCATATCGTGCTTGGGACCCTGAACTAGAACCAACCGACAAACACACCTGTCGGCTGCACGTCCCTTTGGATTTCAGCTTAATTTTGGATTTTGAAATATTTGCATATTTAACACAAAATTCATTTACATTTTGTTTAAATTGTATACATATAGACTACAGGCAATGGCGTATAATATTTTAAAAGTAAATTTGGGCAGGAAACAAAATTTTGTGCTATAGAGTATTCTACGTCAGGTTGAGGTACAAAAAGTTTTGGATTGTGGAACATTCTGAATTTGCACTCACGAGGCAGAAGCAGGCAGAAGGAACTCTGAGCTGAGGCTAGCCCGGTCTAAGGAGTGAGTTCTATAACAGCCAGGTTTACAAAGTGGGCCCTTTGTGGGCTGGCCACTTTTGACAGGAAATATGTCTTTCCCCCATAAACCCACAGCCTGATTCATGGTAGGCAAGAGGTCCACCGCCTTCAGTTAAGTGCTATTTTGAAGCACTATGATACAAAAGAAATAACATTTCTCATTTAAAAAGGTCTGCTTACTGGTTTTTATATGCATTCCCATCGTGTGTGTGTGTGTGTGTGTGTGTGTGTGTGTGTGTGTGTATGTGTGTGTGTGTGTGTGTGTGTGTGTGACTATCATGCGCATGCGTCATGCAGACCTCTGGGATTAGGCTCTTACATTTTGGAGGTGTGAGCAACAGGTCACCACCTAACTTAAACCACTTTGAAGTTGATAAGCATTGAAGTCAGCCCCTTGGCTTTGACAGCGATAACTGTGACTCTAAGCAAATTACTATATCTTGCTAAGTCTCCAGTTCCTGTTTGTGATGTAAGGATAACAATGTCCTTTATACACTCATTGGGAGGGTTATGAGATCTTGGATGTAAATGACTTAGTTTAGGGACTGGCCTTCAGAAATATTCAGTCTGTTTGGTCTAATGTTAACGGATGAAAACGTTGCTTCAAATTCTACCTGTCCACCAATTTACTAATCTATGTTACGGCAGAGGCTTTTACAACAGAAGTTGAGGACTGTTACTGAAGACAGTTGCTAATGACCGGGCTGATCTAAAAGGTTTCTTTCTCCTTGCAGATCTTATTTTGTACTTTAAACACTCCCAGGATTGACATGGGGAAGCTCCTAGGAGGGCACTTGGGTCTTGAGGATTTCATATTTGCCCACGTGAAGGGGATCAAAAAGGAAGTAAACGTCTATAAGTCAGAGGACTCGCTTGGACTCACCATCACAGATAACGGCGTCGGCTACGCTTTCATCAAGGTAAGCTTTTGAAAAAGAAAATACAGGGTGGCCCCATTAAGGAAGCTGCCAGGTCAAAGAGAATTAGAGATTATCTCTAGGAAGAGCTAGGTAGCTCAGCTGGGGTCACAAATTGGTATTTCACTGTCATTTAAAACATGTCAAAGATAGCATTTTTTTGGTACTCTTTTTGAAATTCTTCCTTTTGTTTCAAACATCCTCAACAATTTAAGCTTATTGAGGGAGGACTGGCCCTAGTGCCTTCCCTTCTCTTTACTAATTGAACTGCCCTGGTGTATCTCTGAGGACGTACTGAATAACTTCCAGGGATTTACTGTTACTTTTAAGTGCGCAGATTTCATTAAAAAAGCCTTCTTGGAATTGTCTGAGCAATGTCATTCTTTTGGGTGAATACACAGAAAGAGTAATACAGAGTTGTAAAGATAAGATGCTAAAAATAGTTTGAAAATGAGAACAGCTAAGAAATAAAAGTTCTGCTGTAATCAGTACAGTTGTCCCCCTCCCCCCGACTTGTGCCTGTGTGTGTATATGGGTTGGTTCAGGAACTCCCATGCCTGCTCAAGTGTGTAATACAAATAGCGTAACATTTGCATGGAACCTATGTCCACCCTACCGTGTGGCGTAAGCCATCTTTAGATCTCATGGCATCTATATAACATTATCATGCCACATTGCTTAGAGACCAAGGAAATATCTCCATATGTCCAGTACAGACACAGCTCCTGAATGTTCTCTTGAGACAGTGTCTTGCCCTGTAGTCCAGGCTGTCCATGAACTGGGCTCAGTTGATTCTCTTGCCTCTGGGTGGACAGACATGGGAGGCTTATCAAACGCTAGTCACGTCACACTCCTTTTTTGTTTAATCTTCGCCATAATCCTATTTTAATTTATTTTGATTTAGCCCTATACATACAATGGACTTGTGTTTGTGTGGATGTCTGCACATGCATGTAGGTATGTGTGTGTGTTCATGTGTGTGGAGGCCAGAGGTTGATGTTCCTCAGCTTTCCGCAATCACTATCTCACTTTTTGAGACAAGGCCTTTCCCTGAGCTATAACTCACTGATCAGTTTAGGATGGCTGTCAGATGTCTTAGGGATCTGCTTGTCTCTGCCTCCCTATTGCTGGAATTACAGAGACATGCCTGACTCTTTATGCGGGTGATAGAGACCCAAGCTCTGGTCCTCAGGGTCTCACAGCAAGCCCCTTTTCTACTGACCTGTCTCCCATTTTCAGAAGAGTCTTATTTTATTGGCACTATGTCTTTTTAAATTTGTTTTTACGTTGCAGTCTAGAGCATTAAAAATAAATCTTCAGCTTAATGAATGTTCACTTTCTAATGCCGGTATAATGCTATAAGACCTATTGGAATTGCGTTTCTGCCACTCTGAAGGCGCCCTTGTTTGCCCTTCCGGCTGCCCTGAAAAGTGTCATCTGCTGCCATTTGCTTCTTGAAGTTTACAGAACCATGCATTATTTACCCTTCCATCTCTGCCTTTGCAATCTATCTGTGATGGGCAATGTTACTAACCCCCACTCCACAGCGCCAAGATAGGATCCAGAAGCTTACAAAGCTTGGCCAAATTGTACAATTAAGCAGGTTCAGGATTTGGGCCCAAGAAGTCTGACTCCAGACCCAGCCTTGCTAGGCACTGAGAAGACTCAGTGAAGGGCTTTCTGTGATACAGCAGCACAGCTTATGCCTTCCTTTGCTAATGCGCTGTCACCGTTAAAGAAACAGTCCCAGGGATGCTAAGTGAGCTGTGGATGCTGCTCTAACTGGCCTCTTGATAAGATGGTTATTTTTAGCTCTGCAGAAGATAGGAATGCACTGGAGGTTGTTGAGTGGATGACCAAATGGAAAACCCTTGAGTTGGGAAAGTCACGCGGGACGGTCCAGGGGAAGTTCAGGACACCAGGCGTTGGCAGCAGAGCCTGCTCGCTGTCCCTGCTGTCCCTGCTGCAGAGGAGGGCTCGGAAGTTTCGCAAACGCCTGTGGATGCCTTAGATGTTGGCCTCTAACATTCAAAGCTGCTGTTTCTATTTTTTTTAAATGTCTTGTCAAACATGTGCCTGCCTCAGAGTACTCGTCATTGGTCCTCTGGGGACAGAGGGCATGGTGAGACTGTGTACTTTAAAATACGGATGACAAAAATTGTACAAATTGGATAATTTCAAAATTGAACACATTACAATAATTATAAAAATAGGTTTTATATGTCATTTACATAAATATCCAGTTTTTACCGTTTGCTAATTTGAAATTATTCCTCAGGGGACCATTTTGGAAGGGATATGGGTTTGTTGTCTCATTATTTGTGGTAGTGTATTTTTCTTTTATAAATGAAAAATGAGAAGTGTGGAGATATGCTGAGAGACAGGAGGATTGCTGTGGCTTGCTTGCCATCATTCTAGATCCAGACTAAATATGCCTTCTTTGCCTTTTGCAGCATCGATTTCCAAAACCAGATGAGAAAAAAGCTCTTTTGATTCTTAAGTAAATATTGAATAATATAAATGACTCAAGAGACATTAGCAAATAATGTTTCTCTTTTATGCCTCTTGATACTTAGGTCTAGATAATACTGAGAAATACTATCAGTCTCTGTTCAGTGTTTGAACTGTGTGATTGTTCAAACACATTGTATTTCAGAAATTTGTATTCATTGACACTTCATTTAAATTTGGAAAGACTTCGTTCGTGTGTACACAGGTACAGTGGAGGCCAGAGGTCAATACCAGGTGTCCCTCAGGAGCTATCTACCTTCTTTTCTAAGACAGGATCACTCCCTGGGATCTAGGCTCATCAATTGACTAGACTGCCTAGCCAGGAAGCCCCAGGCATCCTCTTGCCTCAGCCTTTCCTGAGCTGGGGTTAGATACACTGGTCCCCATGCTTGCATAATTAACCCTTTACCAACTGGACAATCTTGCCCAGCCCCACTATACGGCTTGGTTTTTTGTTTGTTTGGTTGTTTTTGGTTTTGTTTTTAATTTTCCAGCTTAACACAAATTAGAATTACATGGGAAGAAGAACCTCAACTGAGAAACTGAGAAAAATCTGTTTCCATCAGATTGCCTTTAGGCAGATCTTTGGGGTATATGCCCGACTCACTGTGGGCACTTCCATCCCTGAGCAGGTGGTTCTGGGCTGTGTAACAAAGCAACTGAGCATGCCAGGAGGGACAACCCAGTAAGCAGCACTCCTCCAAGGTCTCTATCAGTTCTTGACTCCTGGTTCTCGTCTTGAGTTCCCACCGTGGTTTCCCTCAATGGATTGTGACCCAGGAATGTAAGCCAGATAAACTTTTTCTTTCTCGTTGTTTTTTGCTTGTTTTTGTTTTTTGTTTTTTTTTAACTATCCTGAAATTCTTTATGTAGACCAGGCTGCCTCAAACTCACAGAGATCCACCTGCCTCTGTCTCCAGAGCACTGGGATTAAAGACATGTACCATCATTCCCGGCCTGGTTATTGGTGTCTCATCACAGCAACAAAACCCTGATTAAGACACCCACCATCTCAGTTTTTATTCTGTTGGCTTAGGAGTTGACTTAGACCACACGTCAAACAACCAGGCATCTTCCGGCACTCCTCTGCAGGTCACTGTCGTGTTCTCTCCCATCCGCAACCCACTTCTGTCCTCACAGAAGCCTTGACCTCCGCTGCTGCCTGGGTCTCTCTCTGCTGCTGCCTGGGTCTCTCTCTGCTGCTGCCTGGGTCTCTCTGCTGCTGCCCGACTTCTGCAGCCTGCCTCTCCTCCTGGACTCTGGTCATTCTCTGGTGACCTTTCTAGCTTCTTGCAGACTGGGGTGACAGTGTCTCTCCATGACCCTGACCCTAAACTCACAGGTAAGAGTCATGCATCACCACTAAGTCTTTTAGCTGATTAATCTTCTCCATTTCATTATTTTATTTTTATTTTTTTTGGTTTTTCGAGACAGGGTTTCTCTGTGGCTTTGGAGTCTGTCCTGGGACTAGCTCTGTAGACCAGGCTGGTCTCGAACTCCCAGAGATCCGCCTGCCTCTGCCTCCTGAGTGCTGGGATTAAAGGCGTGCACCACCACCGCCCGGCCTCATTATTTTAAATGAGATTGCAAGTGTTGAAAAAACTAAAGGTGTGTGTGAGGTTACTGAAATTCGTTTGCTATAACTGATCAAAGGGAAAAAATAGCCTCCAGGTGTATCAAGATGTCAATTAGAATTTTAAAAAGGTCAAAGTTAAATGCAGATTTTCAAATGTCATGGTGGCCTAAGAGTGGTTATTTAGCAGTGGATTTAATAGGTTTTTTTTCTTTTAGAAGGAAAATCTTTTGTTTAATCTTGTTTTTTGCAATAGTTTAGAAACTGTAGGGGCTGGAGAGATGGCTCAGCGGTTAAGAGCACTGGCTGCTCTTCCAGAGGTCCTGAGTTCAATTCCCAGCAACCACATGGTGGCTCACAACCATCTGTAATGAGATCTGGCACCTTCCTCTGGCATGTGGGCATACATGGAGGCAGAATGTTGTATAATAAATAAATAAATAAATAAATAAATCTTTAAAAAAAAAAACTGTAGATTGTTTTGAGGGGGGCGGTTTTGAGACAGGGTTTCTCTGTGTAGCCCTGGCAGTCCTGGAACTCACTCTGTAGGCCAGGCTGACTGCAAACTCACAGAGATCTGCCTGTCTCTGCCTTCCGAGTGCTGGGATTAAAGGCATGTGTTACCGCTGCCGGACAGAACTGTAGATTTTCAAGCAGTGTGCTGTGGTTGTCACGCTTGTTTCTGTCAGTTGTATAAGAGATGATGAATGCCAGCGAAGCAATGTCAGTTGGATTTGGAAACTTCTGCTTGCACTACATCTTGTTTGTAATAATAAACGAGGGTTATTTAAAAGTGTGTTAGCATGCCAGTTTATACAATGGGTTAATAATTACTAGAATGGAAAAGGTAACCCTGCTTTTAGAATCTGGAAGTAACATGAAATCTATTGTTGGTTGTGGTATGCAATAATGCAATTAAAAAATGCTTATCTTGGTGGGACGGTGCTGGTGCACGCCTTTAATCCGAGCACGCGGGAGACTGAGGCAGGTGGATCTGTGTGAGTTCAAGGCCAGCCTAGTTTACAAAGCAAGTTCCAGGACATCCAGGGATATTACACAGAGAAATTCTGTCTCAAAAACCGAAAATAAATATCAATCAATCAATAAATAGATAGATAAAAAAATAAAATTTAAAGAATGCTTCTCTCTTTAAGCTCCATATCAACTTTTCCCTGATGACAGCATTATAAAAATGTTGCTGCCTCTCGTTTTGCTCAGCTCTTGCACGTGGTGATCAGGCAGGCACGGTGTCGCGTGTCTACCTGGTAAGGTTAGGGTACAGACACTTGTATCAGAGCAGCCAAGCCCCTCCCCTGCCTGGCCTGTCTTTCCCACTAAGGACTTATGGCCGCTGTTTTGTTCTCCTCCTTGTCGTTGGGGAGATCGTGTATGAGTTTTCAGGGCTCTTAGCTGCCGAATTCTGAATGGAAGCAAGATGAAGAATGGGGGTGGCGGGGAGGATGCTTGCTCTTTCTTGCTTGGTTTTCTGTCTTTAAGTGAGCAGTAAACTGTACTGTGAATATGTCAGTGTGATGTATGTCAGGGGCATGAGAAGTCATGCCGCACAGTCACACTTGAGAGCATCATTGATTTTCTTTCTTTCAGAGAATTAAAGATGGCAGCACCATTGACTCAGTCAAGACGATCTGTGTGGGGGATCATATTGAGTCCATAAATGGAGAAAATATTGTCGGGTGGCGTCACTATGAAGTTGCTAAGAAGTTAAAGGAATTGAAGAAAGAGGAGCTCTTTACTTTGCAGTTAATAGAACCCAAGAAGGCATTTGGTAAGTTGAGTGTGTGTGTGTGGTGTGTGTGTGGTGGGGGGGCATGTGCCTTCACCACATCATCTTATCTACTGTACTAGTGAAGAACACAGAAAATACAGACAGCATTTCTTAGAAAATAGCTATGGAAGGAGAAGAAAATTTCCCGGTAAAAGGACAATTTTCGTTGTTTTTGGTTTTCCCACCCCTGACCCCCTGAGACAGGGTTTCTCTGGGTAACAGCCCTGACTGTTCTGGAACTCGCTTTGTATACCAGACTGGCCTCAGACTCACTGAGATCTGCCTGCCTCTGCCTCCTGAGTGCTGGGATTAAAGGCGTGGGCCACTATGCCTGGCTAGAAAGTCCTGTGCTGGAGAGATGGCTCAGTGGTTAAGAGCACTGGCTGCTTTTCCAAAGGTCCTGAGTTCAATTCCCAGCAACCACATGGTGGCTCACAACCATCTGTAATGAGGTCTGGCACCCTCCTCTGGCTTGTGGGCTTACATGGAGGCAGAATGTTATATACATAATAAATAAATAAAAATCTTTTAAAAAAAAAAAAGTCCTTTTACTAAACCAACTTGGGGATCGTGGTGCCTGATGTTGGTGTGGAGTTGGAGGTGGGGCTGAGTCGGCCAGCCTCTGCAGTATTCTCTTGCTCTGCTGAGCTGGGAGATTTCTGACAGAGCTTTTCAAAGCACCATTGTTTTCCAGGGACCCGAGCAACCGAGGGCTCGCTCTGCGTGGAAGTGGTATCTAACACAGTCATTCGCTGTTTCACAGACACCGTCAACACTTTCTCCCGTAATGTTCAGAGTTTGGATGTCATGACGTGACTCCTTTCCTGTCACGTCTGTCCTTGCCTGGTTTTAGCCACGGCAGCTGTGTCTCAACTGTTGCTCTAACCTCCAGGGCCATCTCATGGGTGTGGGAATGTACCAGCTCCTCTCACTACCCGGCACTATTTTAATAAGGCAGATGGACGCCTCATGCACATCAGTGCGAAAATATCTTCAGCGGAAGCATCTGGGCCTGCCCTGACTCATCCCTGACCCCACCCCCCACACCCTGTGTTCTTGCTGATGCCCACAGAACACAGATATTTCTCGTAACTTGTCTCTAACGTTGTTTTCTCAGGCCAGCTAATGGAAACAGTGGACAAATGACAAATCTCTTTCCCCCTTCCAGTGAGTCACAGGCCGCCTCTATCTCCGTGGAATTAGAAAGTTCTCTCTTCCTGCGTGACTCTGTAATAGAATTGTGATGGGAATTGTGCTGCATATGGGAGACAGCCCCACAGGAAGGCTGAGAGGAGGATGCTCGCAGCCCCATGGCTGCTCAGGGACCACGGCAGGAGCTAACAGTGACGCTAACACTCCTGCCTGGTGCAGCGGCATCCAGCCTTTCTTCTCCACAAGGAAGGCGGAGTGCGCAGGCGTCTGGGCAGCAGCCCATTTCCACATGGCTCTTCTGACATTTGGTTGTTTCACTGATGGGAGTAGGTACCTCAGATGTGTGGTCTGTCAGACTCTTTTTAAATCAAAGTTATTTTCTGTGTAACTCAAGAAATAGATTTTTCTTCTGATGTTTGTCTCAAATGCATAATCTGTCTTCAAGTTAATCTTTTTCTGTTTTTTTTTTCCCCCGTTGTATACACTTTTTTTGTAGTATTTATTTTGTAGCCTAACCTGGTTTCAAATTCATTGTATATTGGAGGATGACTGTGAACGTCTGGTCCTTTTCCTTCCTCCCAAGTGCTGGAATTACAGGCACATGCTATTACACCCGGCTGTTGTATGCACTGACACTCTTGGGGTCCCTGTGTCTATCTGGGCATTGCTCACACCCCTTAATTTGGGTGCAAATTGCAGGTTACGGGGGTCGCTGTGCTTAGTCATTTCTGTTCTAGACTTGGCTTTTGTCCTCCAGCATCAGAGACAAGAGTAATAAATGCACTTTACTTCTGTGCCAGCTGCTACCGAATCTTCTCTCTGTTGCCTCAGGGCGTCCACTGACAGACTGAAGAAGCCCCTGGGTAGGATTTTTCTGGCAGAAATGTATTGGAGCATTGTGGCACTGGAGCAGTGACTGGGTTTTGCTTTGTGAGTTGATTGATGGTCTATGGGGCTTTTCTCCCTCAGTGGACTGAGCCCAGAGTCTCCCTCAGAAGGAAGCCTCGCTACTCTGCCATCTTCTGAGCCTGTGTTATGGTGCTTCATTTTAGTCTCTGGAATATGGCTAAAGTTTTCTGTTTGCTTGTTGTCTTTTTCCCAGGTTGTCTTTGTAAGGGTCAAGCCTGTTATGGGGTCAGGTTTCTCCCAGGTCCCTTGATCCCCACCTGCCGTTTGAGTATTTCCTTGCTTCCTTTCTGTGTTTTCCAGAACTATCACTGATGTAGGGCCAGGAACTCAAATTTCTTTTCTTTCTTTCCCTATTTATTTATTTATTTGTCAAAGTTTTGTTGATGCGAGACATCATGACCAAGGCAATTCTTAAAAAAAAGAAAGCATTTAATTAGGGCAGCTTATAGTTTCAGAGGTTTCGTTCATTATCATCATGCTGGGGAACACGGGCACACTCAGGTAGAAGTAGCTGAGAGTTCTACATCGGGATCCACAGGCAGCAGAAAGGAGAGTCACTGGGCCTGACTTGGACTTTGGAATCCTCAGAGCACAGCCCAGTGACCCACTTTCTCCAATGAGGCCACACCTAATCCTTTCCAACAGTGCCACTCCCTAAGCCTTCAAATGTATGGTGTCATTATTAATCAAGCTACCGTAGGGATGGAGGGAAAGAACATTCCATTGCCTGTTCTTGGACTATAGGTGAAGATCTTGGGTTCTCTAACAATCTAGCATGTACTGATATTTTAGCATTTATTGGGTCTTGATAGATGGCAAGAGCAGACAGGTACATGTCTTTTTTTTTTTTTTTTGGTTTTTCGAGACAGGGTTTCTCTGTGGCTGTGGAGCCTGTCCTGGAACTAGTTCTGTAGACCAGGCTGGTCTCGAACTCACAGAGATCCACCTGCCTCTGCCTCCCGAGTGCTGGGATTAAAGGCGTGCGCCACCATCGCCCGGCTGGGTACATGTCTTTTACAGGAACTTGTGGAGCCATTTGTGTGTGCTGGGTTTGGGTACTAGAGAATGATACTGACCATTTATTGATAGTCTTCTGTGTGCCGTCTCTGTGCCATGTGCTCTTATATGCTAAGATCCAGGTCTTAGCTCCTCTCTAGCGAGATGAGATGAATATGAAAACAAACCAGTTGAACAATGGGTGTTGAGGCGCTAAATACACTAGAAGTATAAACACTGGGAACGGATGAACTCGGTATGGAATGCCATGTGCATTTGGGAGTGTTGCACACATCAGTGTGCTGGGCACAGAAGCGTGATGTGGAGGTGTTCCAAGGCATGAAAGCCAAGAGTCAGGAAGGCCCAAATTATCAAAAATCCTGTTTGTGAAGACAAGGAGTGGTCCATGGAAGACCAAGGATGGGGTTGAGGAGGTAGCAGCATGGTCGGCTCTGGATTTCAGAATAATATTTGGAAACTGTATCCGACGAACAGGCAGGATTTGAGGTTGAAGTCAGGAAATCTCATGTTGTGTTATCTGTGGAGAAGACAGAATCCTGAATTGAGGCTGTCTAGCAGATGTGGAGAGAAATGGCTTGGAGGAACAGAAAAGGGTGAGCAGGAACCATTTGTGGGCATGAATGTTTTCTCATCCCCGCCATGGGGTGTCAGCTGGACTGCTTAACCTTGTTAGAGTAGTGACTTCCACCTTAGAAGCAGAGCAATCCCACAAGGCATGGCCCCCCTCCACTCCCCAGTACTTGCTATCAATCCCAGGGCATACTAGGTAAATACCCTACAACTGAGCCACCTCTCCAGCCTAAGATGGAACTTTTATTTATAGGGCTGACTGTTGAATGTTTATTATTATTCCTGAGTGTTAAGAAGATTGGATTGCAAAGCCATTTAGTACAGAGCTAAAGGAATGAGGTGTTGTAAATAATGACCCTCAGATCTGTGGCGTGGTTGAGAGATTCTTTGCAATGAGGAAAGTGGGGGAAGATTTAGGAAGGAGACAGGGAGGAGGGCTGAGAAGTACAGCTTGGGATCGAATGCGTTTGCAATTTATGACGCAGTTTAATTGGAAATGTGGGGCTGGAGGGCACCGAGAACTGAAGCCTAGAAGGGTTTTATGAATGACTGAACTGTAATTCTCTGGAAACAGATCTATTCATTCAGAGTTAAGACAGAGGACAGAAACCAGAGCTTCATGGGGGATGCCAGCATCCAAGCAGCAGAAGGAAGAGGAACTAGCTTAGTGAGGAATGGGAGGACTGCCTTGTAGGTGCCCTTCTCAGTCTTCCTAACAGCAGATCCACGGACTCTCCTGAGTTGACCTTGGGTCTCAGGTAGCCTGGGCTGCCGTGGCACGTGCTGTGTGGGCAATAATGATTGGACTGTCCTAGTCACTGTTTTATTGCTGTGAAGAGACACCGTGACCACATCAACTCTTATAAAGGAAAAAACCATTTAACTGGGGTTGGCTTACAGTCTCAGAGATCTGGTCTCTGAGACTGTAAGCTACGGTGTGGAGCATGGCAGCCTCAGTACAGACTTATGCTGGAGAAGGAGCTCAGAGTTCTGATGAGGGAATTCAAGGACAGCAGGAAGAGAGAGAGCCCTGGTCTTGGGCTCTTGACATCTCAAAGCACCCCTGCCCCTCCCCCCCCCCCCCACCAGTGACACACTTCTTCCAACAAGGCCAGACCCCTCAGGACATTCCTCCTAACCTAAGTTTGCCTTTTAAGTAGTGACTCACTGATGACTAATCATTCAAATCCATGGGCTATGGGGACCGTTCTAGTCCCTACTGCCACAATGACCTTGAATTTTGGATCCTCCTCTACCTGCCAAGCACTGGAGTCATAACTGAGTACTGACCACCCTGTTTCTGCTGTGCTGCGGTCTGAACCCAGGGCCTCATGAAGACAAGGCCAACACTC